TATATATATATATATATATATGCCTGTATGGCCTGAAAAACATGATCAGATTGCCATGTTGCTTTTTGCACCACAGGCAATCTCTCTTCCACCTTGTCCTTGAAGAAGTGACAGTTTTGTTAGTGTAATCTGAGTGTCCAGATTGTGTTCATGTTGGAAGGTTGTGTGTGTGGTGCTTGTACTATGCATGTGTGTTTCCTCCTCATCGGAATGTATCACTTTATCCCAGTGATATTTCTTTCCCGAACATGAACAGCTTGTTTGGCATGTTCTTACAATGTATCATTCACTGGATCAAGTTCGACAACATTGTAGCTTCAAAGTAATGGCCAGTAGGAAGAGAGGGTTATGAGTGGCTTGCCAGAGGTGGAAGAGAATCTTCCCCAAGACAATGTTGGAAGTGGAATCTCTGCTCACTGTTCATGTGTTTAAGGGGATTGTAGATCGATTGCCGGCACTGTAGTTTCAGGCAGGGGCAGCGAATATATTGTGGATGTTCATGATTTGTTTGATACTACAGTAAATAAAGATTATATTGATGAGTACAAAAGTGATGTTGGTGTCAAGAGACTTTTAACAGGAAGACAACCTCTGATTCCACTTTGTGTAAGTTTTCATTTGTAGGAAGAATTTGACTATGAAAACTCACTGTTGAATCATTTTCTTCTTTGCAAGGGTCATGAATTCATACTTCAAGATAAATGATTAGAGCTAGCAGAACATCCTGATGGTAATATGTTGACTATGCATAAGAGTTGTCATCATACTGATCACAGACAAGTGTTACTGTACTGTCTGCTTATGCTGTTGGTACATTGCATTCTTTACACTTGTTAAGAGTACTTTAGCCATGTCAGTATGGAGAATATATGAATACTGAGTGAAAAAAATCCTCATGCCATAACATGTGGAATTCCTTTAGTGTCTGAGGATGAAATTAGAGAAATGTTGTGAAACTTGTTTACATGCTGCTTGAAGGCAGAAGTGGATCACTAAACAGCAGTTTTCTGAACATACGAGTATTTTTAGTTTTTGTTGCCTTTTAAAATAATCAGTAATCAAGTTGTGTTGTGAAAAGGGAAAGTTTGCAGTACATGCAAGGAAGACACCTGCACTCTTACCTCTACAGTCACACAGTAAACAATCAGCAGGCTGTCACTACCATCATGCTTCCATCTCAGCTGTCTGCTCTGTACAAGGGGCCAGATTTTCTTAATTATCTATTCTGCATTGTGTAAAAGACAAAATTTTGGTCATAAAGACCTAAGGAGAAGAAACTACATTGAAGATCTAGGCATAGTATTTAAGGTAATATTAAAATTGACCTTAAAGAAATTGGTGTGAGGGCATGGAATGGATTTGATTAGCTCAGGCTAGAGACAGCTGGCTATAGTAATGAACCTTTGAAACAGATGTTAATCACCATGTATAAGAGTAAATTATTAAGATGGAAGGTTGTCACTATTCTTGTTATGTCATGACCATGGATGGTTAGATGTGGTTGCTGAGAATTCAGCTAACACAGGTTGTCACTCATGGGGGAAGTTATGCATTTGAATCTCTGCCAGCTCATAGGATGGAGTATGGCCACAAGATTAGTGATTAGACTGGTGGGATTTGTGTAGTGCCATTAAATTGCAGCTATTTCATAATACATACTCTCTGCTTACAGGACATGTATGTGGATTATCTTTATTGTTTGCATCCTGTTGCGTATTACTATATAGTATTATTACAAGTATACAACCGTCAACACAAGTTTGTAATAAATAAAGTAGTATAGCAAATGTACATAATAAATGAATATATTACAGTAATACTGGGGCACGTGGTGGCATGGTTGAGGCACTGTGCTACAAGCCAGAACGTTGCAGGTTTGAGTCCCGATGAGATGGATTTTTTAATTTACCTAATCCTTCCAGCTGCTCTGTGGCCCTGGAGTCGACTCAGCCTCTAACAGAAATGAGTACCAGGAATCTTCCTGGGGGGAAAAGGCCGCCAGTGTGTAAGGCTGACAACCTAGCCGCCATCTATGAGCTGATTGTCTAGATAATGTTGGACCCTAAATGTCTCACAACCCTATTGGTCTCCATGGCCTGTTACAGGGATAGCTTTACTTACTTTTTTACTTTGCTACAGTAATATTGGTTTATTTATTATGAATTTGTTATATTGACAGTTGTATATTATTAATATACATATAAATGGGTCTGGACATTACAATGATAAAAGATGGGAAACAGGTAGTTTGCAAGTAGGATTTGGTCGGGGCCTTAGGTTATATCTGTGGACTCCTGGCACTGAAGGTATATTGTTCATATTCATGTAAAACTACTTCAGTTACTATGTGATCCCATACTGAGACACTAAAGATAGTATTTTTTTTCCTCATGGGGTGAGAATGAATCCATTTGGTACTGCTGCCACTGTTTGGCCTATTGTACCAGCCCCAGGTGGCAGGTGATGATGATTGTGGAGAAGTTGGTGGAATGCAAGTTGGCAAGGGAAACCAAAGTACTTGGAGAAAAACTGCTGCAGGGCCACTTGTCCACCACAAATCCCACGTGATCTGACCCAGGCTGAAATGCGGCCTGCCACAGTGGGGAGGCAGTGATTAACTGCCTGAACTATGGCATGACCCACTAAAGGCAGTATACTAATCACTTCTTAATAGCACCTGCTTAGACACTTGGGGTATATAGATTATGCTACAAGCTGGAAGGTCGCAGATTCGAGTCCTGATGAGGTCATTGGATTTTTTTTCAGTTGACCTAATCCTTCCAGCCACACTATAGCCCTGGGGTTGTCTCAGCCTCTAACAGAAATGAGTATCAGGAATCTTCCTGGGGGTAAAGGGCGGCCAGCACATAAGGCTGACAACTTTGCTACCGTCTATGACCCGATTGTTTAGAAAATGTGGGAACCTCAACATCTCACAACCCTATGGTCCTCCACGATCTGTTACAGGGATACCTTTTCTTTACTTTTAGATGTATGACTAAGTATTGTTACACTGCCCTGTATTTACAGTGATTATGTGGTACTGGATCAGTCTCTTCTGTAATACGTAACTTCACATGAATGAAGGTAGAATTAGGTGAGCTGTCGCGGTGTTGCATAGATATTTCAGATAATATTGAATATTGATGTGCATTGCTGATTGGTTGAGAGGAGAATAATTTAAATCATCCCACAGGTGTGAAGATGGGTGTGTGAGGTCTTGGTATTTTGGTCTCAGTGACACTTTTTATGTTACTTTACTGTGTGGGTCTAGTGCTTGATGGTGGTGGTTGTGTAAGTGTTCTGAAGATGTATGTAACCCTTTCCTTCTTCAGAGAAAAGCAGAATATCTTCCACATGCCATTATAAATAGTGTTATAAATGTATATGGGACTTATCAGTTATGCAGCATGTAAAGCACACAGTATACCAAGTTTGTGGTCTTACTATAAGTTTTGGTAGGGAGCAGAATTCTTTAGCTTATGTGTAGATTTGACTTGTATGGCTGGTATTGACCTGTTATATGCCCCTTCTTTATTATGGTCCAGTGATTGAGATCACTTCTAACAGACACAGCAAAGTAGGTGCCTCCCCACCCTTTCACCAGAGGGCAGAGACAGACCCAGCTTCTGAAATATTTTCTGTTAGAATATTTAATTATGGGCAAAGTCCAGAGATTCAGTAATCCCAAACACAGTTTTTATAATGTAATAACTACTTTTTACTTAATTTTCGAACTGACTCTTCGTATTGAGAATTAGCAGTATGTTTTCTTTTCCTTATCAGGGTGCACTGAATGAACAAGAACTCATACATGATGAGCAGCGTCCACATTCCTGTGACATATGTCATTTGTCATTTACTGTACAATCTAAGCTGGCACGTCATCAATGCATACACAGTGTGGAACATCCATTCTGCTGTGATGTGTGTTATAAGTCATTTCATTCTCAGAGTAATCTGAAGAGACATCAAATCGTACACAGTGGGGAGCAAGCATACTTCTGTAGTGTATGTAATAAATCATTCAGCACCCAGCGTTATGTGAAGAGACATCAACAAATACATAGTGGGGAGCGTCCTTATAACTGTGATGTGTGTAGTAAGTCTTTCCGTAATAAGAGTCATCTAAAGAAACATAATGGCACACACAGTGGGGAGCGTCCATATTCTTGTGACATTTGTAATATGGCATTCAGTAATAAGGGTGATATGAAGAGACATCACAGAATACATAGTGGGGAGCGTCCTTATTTGTGTGATGTTTGTAGTAAGTCATTCAGGAATAAAAGCGATTTGAGCCAACATCAACGCATACATACAGGGGAGCGTCCATATCACTGCGATATATGTAACAAATCGTTTAGTAATAAAAGTGGTCTGAAGAGACACCAACGCGTACACAGTGGGGAGCGTCCATATACGTGTGGTATTTGTAATAAGTCATTCAGTGACGGGAGTGTTTTGAAGATGCATCAACGCATACACAGTGGAGATCGGCCATTTTCGTGTGACATGTGTAAGAAGTCATTCAATAAAAATTTTGATCTGAAAACACATCAACGCACACACAGTGGAGAGCGTCCATATTTCTGTGATATCTGTAACAAATCGTTTAGGACTAATAGTAGTCTCAATGAACATCGGCTCATACATAAGGGGGAGCGTTTGCATTCCTGTGATTTGTGTAGTAGGTCATTTCTTAATAAAAGTAATTTGAAACAACATCAACGCAGACATAATGGGGAGTGACAATATTGTAGTGATGTGAAGTTAATTATTGAAGAGAGATATTTTGAAGTGTTGTCAATGCATATATGCAGTGGGAGCATGGATATTGGTGTAGTTTTTGTAATAAGATCCTTATTAATATGAGTGAACCTAAGAACTTATGTCAGTGGGAAGCATGCATATGTATGTGATGTAATATGTTACTATGTTAGATTTAATCTGATGTTGCATTAACATGCATGTAGTTGAGAGCTTTTTGGAGTTCTGTATAAATCAAGTCGTAACAGTGTTGGGATACCTCAGTGCATTCATAGCATGCAATGGTCTCATTTTACTATGCATAAGAAATGTTTAGTAGTAATTGGTAATCTGAAGGCACTAGAACAGGTACAGAGTATGGAAGGTTGGTTCTTCTGTGATATGTCAATAAATCATCATCATCATCATCAATATATGAGTTACATAGTATGGACTGTCATTTAGTCTTTCATTTTATAACAGAACATATGTTTTGTTGTTACTGATACTTATGCATGAATGATGCAATGGACAAGAAAGTACACTATGCGGAGAATTGTCTACATTTGGTTCCACTTTAGAAATGATTACATTTTAAAGACTGTGATACTTCTTCTAGATGGTTACGTCTCTATTCTTTCAGATTAGTACACATTGGTTAAAGGAATATGTCAAAATAATTTAAATGGGAAATTTATATTCTAGAGTCACAGTTCCTGCATATCACCAGAACATAAGTTTAAGCACTTTTTTTCACTGAAAACTTTTGGTAGACTTTACACTTTGTAGCATGTACAAGAAATATTTTTAGATCATCAAGGATATACTTGGTTGCTTTTGAATGATTTGAAACAACAGTCCTTCCTCCTGACTCAGTAGTAGTTAGCACACCACATGAACGTATGAATTGAGCTTGTTCTTTCGTGGGAATGAAGGTAGTGCACTGTATGAATATATATGATATCTTCACACTTCACCGCCACCCTTATTAACAGTGTACCTGTATGAGACTGGAAATACATCATAAGCAACAAACAGCAAGTACACTATATGCTCAAAGAGAAGTTCCAAGGCCACATGAAGTTTTACACAGCGGCAGAAGTAATGATACACGATGTCAGTTCATGTCATACAGTTGGACATGAGTTCCAGCAATATGAAGATGCACCAACATGGCAGCCTACAGCACCACAGATACTCTATTTCAGTGTACCAGGCTACTGAACATTGATCAAATCCAGGAGCTATGACATGGCATAGCTAGTGATATCACACACTGAATCAAATACTGACCACTGTTAACAGTTGAGGTGTGCAAGAACAGAACCAACACTAATCAAACTAAGAGCTTATAACATTATCCCATTTTCTGTGGTTATCATAATTATATGTTGTTGTAGGAAAAAAGGTTGTTTACAGTATTATTCAGAATGATTTCATATTCCAAGAAATAAAAGGATCCTAGTTCACATGTGAAATCACAGTTTAATCTTAAAAATACAGTTTTTCATTCCAGTAGATCATCAGAGGATAAAAGTAACACAGATGATGAGCTATAATCAGAGAGAATGAATCTCTATTTTATGGATCATACAGTATTCCATAAGGCTTCTAGATGAAGCAGTGTGCTGTTGATCACCAGTATTCCTACAAGACTCTGTGAGCTTCACTGTAGATGTTCGGCAGAGACACTGATGAAAGTTATGACAATGTAGTTGTAAGTCAGAAAGTATTCACAAAATGGCTGTACCCCCCCCCCCCAAAAAAAAAAAACCNATCAGCCCCTCTGTTGTATCAACATGTAATTGTAAACTTGGAAGTTCTCACTTGTGTGAACCAGTAGTGGCATCAATATGGCCACTCTAATTACTAAATGCAACAAAGAAATGCAGTGATTCAGTATTTATGGGCTGATGTTGGAAGAGGTGTAGTAATTCATCAAAGACAATGAGCACAGTATGCTGATTATGTAGCCTGTCACTGGGGTTCAGTACCCTAATTGTTTCTTGTCAGTGACACTTGTGAGGTTGTTTTTGAGCATGTCAGTCCATTTGTACACATTAGCTTTGACAAAACACTGTAATTACACTGTGTTCATGGTCTTTTGCAAATTTTTGCATCCCTTACACCAACCAATAAAAACTGAATCTCCAAATAGTCCTCTTATTTTAATGTATGTGATAATGCAGAGTTGGTTGAGGGGGCTATGCTACAAGCCAGAAGGTAGCAGGTTCAAGTCATGATGAGGTCATTGGATTTTTTTAAATTGACCTAATCCTTCCAGCCGCACTATGGGCCTGGGGTTGCCTCAGCCTCTAACAGAAATGAGTACTAGGAACTAATTAAATAATTTTCCTGAGGAGTAAAGTGTAGCCGGCCCGCAAGGCTGACAACCTTACCACCACCTTTGAGCCGATTGTCTAGATAATGTGGGACCCTCAACGTCTCACAACCCTATGGACCTTCACGGCCTGTTACAGTGATAGCTTTACTTACTTTACTTGATAAAGCAGAGCAGCCATATTGGAACCTTTGAAGTAAGACCCAATGTTGAAGGTCAGATATGTCACTATAGCAAGAAGGTTTCAGTGACTACTGTTGCATGTCCATTCAGCAGTGGGGACAATCACAAAAAGGAGAAGATATGGCCATTTGGTGGATACTTGTTGATTTACAATTGTATATACCTAGCATGAACAGTGGTATGGATTGTCGTTTGTCCAGTTCTTCAGTCCACACCAGAACCAGAGTGAAGAGAGTTTAAAAGGTAATATGCACCACATTGTACATAAATGTTGAATACTTCAACATTAACACAGAACCACTGTAGCAACACTGTTAATCTCCAGCCAGTCCACATCTAAGTGGATCAGCTGTGGAACCTGAGCAGCACTTAGGTGAATCAGTGGTGGAACCTGAGCAGCACTTAAGTGGATCAGCTGTGGAACCTGAGCAGCACTAAAGTGGATCAGCTGTGGAACCTCAGCAGCACCTAAGTGAATCAGTGGTGGAACCTGAGCAGCACTAAAGTAAATCAGCTGTGGAACCTGAGCAGCACTTAAGTGGATCAGTGGTGGAACCTGAGCAGCACTTAAGTGGATCAGCTGTGGAACCTGAGCAGCACCTAAGTGAATCAGTGGTGGAACCTGAGCAGCACTAAAGTAAATCAGCTGTGGAACCTGAGCAGCACTTAAGTGGATCAGCTGTGGAACCTGAGCAGCACTTAAGTGGATCAGCTGTGGAACCTGAGCAGCACTTAAGTGAATCAGTGGTGGAACCTGAGCAGCACTTAAGTGGATCAGCTGTGGAACCTGAGCAGCACTTAAGTGAATCAGTGGTGGAACCTGAGCAGCACTTAAGTGGATCAGCTGTGGAACCTGAGCAGCACTTAAGTGAATCAGTGGTGGAACCTGAGCAGCACTTAAGTGGATCAGCTGTGGAACCTGAGCAGCACTTAAGTGAATCAGTGGTGGAACCTGAGCAGCACTTAAGTGGATCAGCTGTGGAACCTGAGCAGCACTTAAGTGAATCAGTGGTGGAACCTGAGCAGCACTTAAGTGGATCAGCTGTGGAACCTGAGCAGCACTTAAGTGAATCAGTGGTGGAACCTGAGCAGCACTTAAGTGGATCAGCTGTGGAACCTGAGCAGCACTTAAGTGAATCAGTGGTGGAACCTGAGCAGCACTTAAGTGGATCAGCTGTGGAACCTGAGCAGCACTTAAGTGAATCAGTGGTGGAACCTGAGCAGCACTTAAGTGGATCAGCTGTGGAACCTGAGCAGCACTTAAGTGAATCAGTGGTGGAACCTGAGCAGCACTTAAGTGGATCAGCTGTGGAACCTGAGCAGCACTTAAGTGAATCAGTGGTGGAACCTGAGCAGCACTTAAGTGGATCAGCTGTGGAACCTGAGCAGCACTTAAGTGAATCAGCCGTGGAACCTGAGCAGCACTTAAGTGGATCAGCTGTGGAACCTGAGCAGCACTTAAGTGAATCAGCCGTGAAACCTGAGCAGCACTTAAGTGGATCAGCTGTGGAACCTAAGCAGCACCTAAGTGAATTAGTGGTGGAGGAATTGATTTGAGTAGTTTACTTGTCACCTGTACTGAAGAGATCAGTACACTATGAGCATATTTCTATTATATGCATAAAAATTTTTTTTGATAGTGATAATTCAGTATTTTAAATCCATGTTATACTCAATCTACATTACCCTGGGAAGCATGAAGTGAAGATAATATTTATATGAAAAATGTACTTCTTAATGCAAAGTATAATTTCTCATTTCTTTTTCTTGCATACAAAAGTAATCAGCATTTATAAAGGCTGAATTGGCGAGATTAACTGTGACTTTCTTAGGTCACATGTTACAGGTAGTAATGACGCCATCCTCTGTGAGGTTGGCCAGACTACGGCTGTGTCTTTGGTGGGGACGCATCATGGACCAGGGGTGTATCGGGACACAGCCTTGGGACACCTCCTCATGGTCCCGATGGGCAACAACAGTCTTGGAGTCTGGATTAGTATGACCAACCGGGACTGGCGGCCAAGTTCCCGTAAAGGGCAATGGCATTACGACTGGAGTCTCCCACGAGGCGGCATAATGACTCTTGGGTATCACTACAGTCTACCTGGGACGAATGCGGGAGAGCACTCGTATGTGGGTAGCTTCGCTACTTGAGCTGTCTCCCTAGAGTACCGATAAGATGCCGCAAGCCTTTGGGCTGAATACTGTAAAACAGTCTGACCAACCCATGTGGAGGGGTGGGAATGTGGGGAGCTTTTATGCCACCCCCAGGACGACTGCTTCATGCAGGTTTCCATGGTCGCGACCTCATGATTAGTTGGTGTCGTACTCCCACTGATTATTTGGGATACCCCCCTTCCCCTGAACTAGCACTCTTGGTCTTGGAGGCGTGTGGCGGTTTATCCTTAACAGGACCGAACCACCTGAGCCAAGGTGTGAGGCAATGTGCTGAGGACTGCATGGCACTGGGGTGGTTATTAGCCATTGTTGTGAATGATCCCCTCGGGCACCAGGCAGCATCCTGTTGTATTCATTCCTTGCACTCGTATGGGGCGCTGTGGGTAGTGACCTAAATCCCCATGACTCATGGGACCGAAATGAATATTGGTACCAAAGAAAAAATTGGTCGTAAGGACCTTAAACATAAGAGGGACTCCCATCCAAGGAGATCCCTATGAGAAATTCTTCAGCAAGGGGCAGGAAGCTCTGGTGCACCGTTAAGGTGCCCAGTTGCAACCAGAAAAACTGCTGTTAAATTTCAGCCAAAGACAGTCTCCAAAAGTCTCCAAAATATTTTTGACATACTACTGTTGATTAATTGTACCGTAAAAGTATATGGGGCTGAAAACCATAAGCACAGCACTAAATTTGGGGTTATCTAGTGGGATTTGTTAAATAATTTAGTTCA